AAAGAATCATAACAGACAAGAAAGGAAGAAGAACTCATGACAAGAAACAAACACAAAAACATGAATGAAATAAATACAAGGTGCTCGACACACAAGGAAGGGTACACAGAGGGTGATAGAAACTAACAAGAGGCTAAAAAAAACTAAAGAAGGAAAGCACTCAGGACTATAACCAGGAACAGAACGATATAGTAAAACTAGTAGGGTTCAAAATGCAGGATTACCATAAATGACACATTATAATAACACACTTTAATAACATTGCTGCTCATTATTGACACAATTTTAACTGTTCATTTAATATTTTACACATATGCTAATATTAAACAATCTTTAATCACAAAGACAGTTGCCTCAAAGTGCTTTATATTATAAAGGCAAAGACCCTAGCATACTGTAATAGAAAGAAAACAATCGTATGACCCCCCCATGACCAAGCACTTTAGCAACAGTGGGAAGGGAAAACTCCCTTTTAAGAGGGAGAAACCTCGAAAGTAGAAGTTGATTAATATTATGAATGAGAAATGTAGTTTTAGTGAAAATGACTGTGCTAATATCTAATGTATGAAGATCAGAACTGTGTCACCAACTCGTCATTCACATAATCCTGAATCAAAAATATAGTATTACATGTCGTACCCTGAGTGAGAGACAGAGTTAATTAATTGTGAATGACCTGCCCATCTGCATAGCTTTCATGTCCCAAGAGGCAGCAACTTTCATTTTTATTCAAATAGCATGGCATCCTTTCGCGTCTAACACATTAACAAGTCCATTTCAGCATTGATTTTTTTCCCAATGAGATGTTCTTTTGCCATTGTTGCTGTTATGTTGTTCCTCTAATTATTTTGAGCAATGCATTATATTTGTAGTCATTTATTTACAAAGGAAAAACAACACATACCTTGATTAGTAAAAATGATTCTTCAAACACATTTATCTATCTGTGTGAAATTGTATATAATCTCCTGTGTAATTGTATATTTGGCAAATCAGTTTGGGCAGAGTAACCGTGACAGAGCCAAGAAAGACATTTGTACCCTGCTGGGAGTCATGACTCTGCTCGGCATTACCTGGGGCCTGGTCTTCTTCTCTTTTGGATACCTGACCACTCTTGGCATCTACCTCTTCTGCATCCTGAACTCACTGCAAGGTCTGTATAACCATTTGTATGTTAAGGCAAGGCAGTTCTGGGCTCATATTAGTGCTACCTGCCAGGATTATGTGATATACTGTAAAGCTTTGATTCCTAAAGTTGCTGCCTCTTGGGACATGAAAGCTATGCAGATGGGCAGGTCATTCACAATTAATTAACTCTGTCTCTCACTCAGGGTACGACATGTAATACTATATTTTTGATTCAGGATTATGTGAATGACGAGTTGGTGACACAGTTCTGATCTTCATACATTAGATATTAGCACAGTCATTTTCACTAAAACTACATTTCTCATTCATAATATTAATCAACTTCTACTTTGGAGGTTTCTCCCTCTTAAAAGGGAGCTTTCCCTTCCCACTGTTGCTAAAGTGCTTGGTCATAAGGGGGTCATACAATTGTTTTCTTTCTATTACAGTATGCTAGGGTCTTTGCCTTATAATATAAAGCACTTCGAGGCAACTGTCTTTGTGATTAAAGATTGTTTAATATTAGCATATGTGTAAAATATTAAATGAAAAGTTAAAATTGTGTCAATAATGAGCAGCAATGTTATTAAAGTGTGTTATTATAATGTGTCATTTATGGTAATCCTGCATTTTGAACCCTACTAGTTTTACTATATCGTTCTGTTCCTGGTTATAGTCCTGAGTGCTTTCCTTCTTTAGTTTTTTTTAGCCTCTTGTTAGTTTCTATCACCCTCTGTGTACCCTTCCTTGTGTGTCGAGCACCTTGTATTTATTTCATTCATGTTTTTGTGTTGTTTGTTTCTTGTCATGAGTTCTTCTTCCTTTCTTGTCTGTTATGATTCTTTTCTCAGCCATGTTTTGTTCTCCCCAGAAAATTCCTCTAATCACCTCTCCATCCTGCAGATCCTGACTGAGCGTAGTTTATTGCTTTCATTTTCAAATGTGAATCCTCATTGCATCTCTTGTATACAGTCTAAACATTTGCTTTCCTCTCTCTCTTCTTTGTGTCATGCAGGTTTCTTCATCTTCCTGTGGTTTATGATGTCAATGAGAAAAGCTAAAACTTCCGTTACTAAGACAAGCAATGAAAATCATAGCAACAGCACCTAGCTTACACACAACTACCAATACCAGTGCCCATATGTGTCTTGTTGGAATGTATAACATTGAAAAATTATTTTTTATTAAGTTCATGTATACAACAATGCATCAGGTAAGAGAGCAACTGAGACCAAGCAATGTATATGAAAGCATGAAGTGGAAG